CCAAATTTTGACACAACACTGAAAAAATGCTGTGAACTTGAGCGACTGTCCATATTCAAGAGATTCTCCACTGGAGGCTGGAACGGCAAAAAGTGTCAGCAGTCTAGAATAGAGAAGTATCCACGTTCGAGAGGTCCCTGTCCAGCAAAAATAGCTCAAGGGGACCGAAAGGTATCCATAATAGGAAAATATCCACATAGGGAGGTCTTACTGCATATGAATAATATTGAATTTCATTTTTCGCTGTTTCGATTCACCATTGAATGCAGATCATAGTTATGCTATTTTTACAGGCTTCTGCTCTGGTGGGGATATTTGTTAGCATTTTTCGTCCGAAAAAACCAAACTCCTCTTTTCCTCTTTATTTTCAAAAATCCTCTTTTTTTTTAAACTGTGGATCCTCTTTTTTCCTCTTTTTTTACAAACTGTCGGTGAGATGCCAGATATATATATATACCCAATAGAGAATGAGAATATTCTCGAAAAACAAAAGATCAAAGGAGAAGAGAGAAACTATGACGTCACTGTACCTTAGAAGCAAGAACAACAGATATTTGAAAAGAATTTATATGAGAGAAGAAAAGAAAGAAAAGAAAAGTATGAGATGACAAATGCAGTTGTTTATGACCTTAATGACCTTACATATTTAATAGTTTAATGTAAAATAAACACTTTTTTCTTTACTGAAAAATAGGTGGTTCAAAAAATGAGCCACCGATCCTGAAATGGTTAAAGCAGATACTATAGCTCAATTACTCCTTGATGAAGTTATTTGTCGACTTGGCTTTCCTGTTCATATCATATTTGATAATGGAGTTCAATTTCTATCTAAAGTATTTATTCAATTATACCATATACTCGATATTCGTCATTAACGTACACCTCTTTATCATTCACAAAGTAATTTAAGTGAACGTATTAATCGTACTCTAAAACCTAAATTAGCGTCACTTGCTCATACTGATTCAAAATCCTGGGATGTCAAATTATCTCAAATTGCATTTTCTCTACGAACTGCTCCAAGTGACTCAACAGAAAATAGTTCAGCTTTTGCTCATGTTTGAACGTCATTCATGTCAACCCATCGATTTATTAATTCCACCTCCTGCTATTTCTGACAATTTACCATCTGAAGAAAATTTACTCTGATTATCGAAAACGTTTACTTGCCGAATTAATGCCTGCTTATAAAGCCACACGTGAATTACTCGATCTTTCTCATCAAACACAAGCACGTAATTACAATATTCATCGTCGTCCATTAGAATTTCAACCAGATGATTAAGTATGGGTGACCAGTTTATCTGGTATTGCCATGGGAAAATGATGTGGTTGTAAGCTGCAACCAAGACGAGAAGGTTCATATAAAATTCTCACTAAATTCTCATCTGTTACCGGTGAATTAGAACAAATTATATCTCATCAACATTTATCACCAATACACATAGAATGACTTACACCTTATTATTCATTTACAACCATCCATCAATTATATTATTCACAACAAGTTTATCTTCGATTTATACTTATTTATTTGTTTGCTTATTGATGCAACTCTCGATATAATATAAACTGATCGATTTGTCGTCATTCTCTTATTGGCGAATATCTGTAGTTATCATTTTTTTTTACTATTTACATAACAATTATTTGAATTTGTCGCTCTGAGCCGTTCGTAAACTTCAATCAATATTTGTACTTATACTGTGTTGATCGTTTGCTTCTATCTCATAATTACATCATATTCGACTTTGTCATTACACATTACTCAACTCAAATGATTCTTGGAATTATGAAATATTCTTTTCTGTCAATAAAAAAAAGCAAATTACCCACACGAAGAAAAATGACCAAAACTAATTGATATACAATTCGAGAACAGTCACAGGAGCTCTAGATTTTTCTGTGGTGGGAGAGCCCTGTAGCAGTATTATGTGCCGTTACCTGTATATTATGATCTACTCATTTTCTATTTGTTTCTTTCGCGCTTTGTTCTTTTTCTCTCTCTGGTTCCATTGTTTTTTGCGCTCGTCACTCGACTATCATTGTTATTATTGTTCTTCTTATGATATAAAAAGGAGAGTTTGTATTATTTATCGATATTGTTTCTCTGGTATTGAGCTTGCCACACATCGAGGCCTTTCAGGGGGCAATTGTTTTGTCTTGTCCATAATTCATCATGTATGTTATCATTAATTAAGCTATATCCATATACATACATTGAGATATTCTAATTTGATTGATCTCCATGTATGTGCATGCCCTGAGCAGAGCTTAATTAATATCGTCTTGTAATCACTCTCCGATGAGAAAAAAATGAAAGAAAATTTTCTCCCACCCAAAAAAAAAAGATTTTTTTGGGATATAAATATAAATCATTTTTTATGTAAAATCATTCAATTTATTGAATTAAATACTAATCATTTCTTTTTTGTATTTTAGATTGGCTTCAACGATACAAAATTAAACAGCTCAATACCAAGCAATACAACAAAATAAAATGTAGGTATTATTATTAATTTTTTTTCTTTTTACGATCATAGTGAGGATGCTCTCTAAAAAAAACAGTATTCTCGGAAACCAAGGGAGAAAGGTTTCCGAGTGTTCGGAAACCTTTCTCCCTTGGTTTCCGAGAATACTGTTTTTTTTTAGAGAGTGGTAAGTTAAATCATACCGTTCCTTAAGTAGCATTAATTAATTTCTTTTCTTTTCTTTTTAGTCAACAATATCATCGCATCGCATCATCGCTCAATAACAAACAGGGTGAGTAATGCTTTTCTTCTTCTCAATATGAGTAGGGTGAGACTCAGACAAGTGAGTGTTAGTAAGAGGGAGGGGTGAATTATGTCCGTTGAGGTTAGACTTCACTTATATGAAGGGTTTCCGAGTAGTCCATAAAAGCTCGGCCAGGAATTGCTTTGGTGTCCGTGACACACGACCGGACCTCCAGACTTATGGACACATGACATCGGATGGATGAATGTGGATGGCGTGGGTCTTGCCGCGCGTGCATGAGCTTTATGCTTGCCACGGCTCCACCAGGATGACGCTTGGTCGCACACACGCGCGAATAGAATAAGCATTGTTTTCATCAATTCAACGTGAATTTATTTGAAAGAAAAGGAAAGAAAAAATAATAATCCATCGCTATGAGTTCACTTAATTGAAAATCGTTGAACACGATAATTCCAACGGTCGACGACATAGAGATTGCCTTGCCGATCGAAAGACAAACCGCGAGGATCATTGAGCTGATTTGCTCCTTCTCCTTGACCGTTTCCACCCACAATGACAGTGCCTTGTTTCGCTCCTTGAAGCCAACGTATCACTCGATAATTCGACGAGTCTGCCACATAGATGGTACCCAACGTATCAACGAACAGCCCATTCGGATTCCCCAATGGTTTTAGAGTCTTTCCATTGCCTTGACTCTCAGCGACAGCAATTCCTTCCTTTGCATCTTTATGCCATTTCATCACACGATAATTCCATTCGTCTGACACGTAGACAGTCTGGTATTGATCGACAAAGATAAAGGTCGGAAAGTTGAGCTGATTGGGACCAGCACCTTTGCCGTTGCCGCCAGCCACGATAGTTCCATTCTTGTCTCCTATTTGATATCGTCTTACTTCATGTTTTTCGATGTCAGAGATATAGAGATATCTCCTATCATCCATAGCCAATCCGTAAGGATCGATGTTGTCAACGATAATTTCTCCTTGAGTTTTGCCGCTACGACGAGACCACCGTACGACTCGTCGATTCTGCCAATCACAAATAATGAGACTATCAGTCTCTTTGTCAATTAACACATCGGTTGGATGATTCAATTGATTCAATCCATTTCCTTCGCCATTGCCACCAGCTACCACTTGTCCATCCGTATCACCCATCTTCCATTGGATGATACGATCATTCAAGTAGTCAGCGATGACAATCATGTGATCATCATCAACGACGAGACCGGAAGGCCAGTTGAGTTGATTGGTGGCATTGCCTTCTCCGTGACCTCCAGCAACTGTCACTCCATTCTGTGCCCAACGGGCATTGGTTGGAATATTGGGAATCACTACAATGAACGAGAGAAAGAATCGCTATCGTCATGGCCTATGGACAAAATGTTCTTCTGCGTCGAAGAGAACTTGATAAAACTTTCGAGAATGTCTTTCTCTAACATACTCTAAACAAGAGAAAGGTTCTCATAGTTTTATATGCAACAAAAAAGAACTTGGTAACGATTCTTATGAGAATCCTTTTGAGATTGCTCGAAAGAGTTTTTTTGCGATAAGAAGCATTTCTGAAATACTGAGAAGAGTAATGCTAATCTTATGTAAGCTTAAATCGTTGAAAGAAAAACTGAGAAGATTCTATCTGGATCTTGATTCTAGATTCGAAGAACGCATATGAGTTTGTTGTAGGAGTTAGCATTCTTTAAAATGTTGAGAAACCTAATGCTAATAGTATGTTACCTATCGATTGGAAAACATAGAGATTTTAGTCATAGTTTTTATTATCAGTTCCAGCATTTTTATAAAGACCTTGTAAGGAGAATGCCAAAAATAAGGATTTTAGGATGCTGTTCATTTGCTTTGATGTCATTCGTTAGATTGTTGTCAATGAATTGACGTCAAACGTTGGATCCCATGCTGATCGTTGGAAACTAATGCTGTCTGCTTTTGAAGTACTGAGTAGGCCAATACTAAGTATATCGGAGCTCTTCATAATAAAGCGTAGTGATCTGTAGATTTCAGGGGTAATTTGAATATTTCGGATATTAATGAGATAGCCAGATTTAGAAAAAACATAATTGTTTTTTGTTTTTCGTTTTTGAAAGATGGGTAGTTCAATTATCAACAAACTTGTATTTAGGCATTAGCTGCAACATGAGCTGATTTTTTAAAATTAGATGAGTACTCATTTTCACTAATTCAAACTGTAACAAATGTACTAATATTCACTGCTTCATGGACATTGAAAAATGAATTTCTAAAGTATTTTTATGAATAAGGCGATCAACATTTTACATTTTAGAGTATTAAATTCTGAGGGACAACAGAGATTATTCTACCACAGAGAAGACATAACCTACAAAATCTGAGTGGTGTCATATATCCAAGATTTTGGAGAAATTCTCACTTCTCCCACAGGAGATGCGGCCTCTCCCGCGGGATACGCGGCACCCACACTTAGGAGATGCGGTGATTTCCTGTTCGAGATGTATCATCTCATTGAGAGATGTGCATCCCTCAAGCTGGGGGCTGCATCTCCCGGCAGAGATTTGAGCACTTCTCCAAATTCCAGGATATGTGACACTGCTGATATATATATATATATGTCGTGCCAGTTTAGGACCAAATAAATTGAATTTTATTAAACGTTACTTGTCTCTAATAGAATTTAAAAAAAAATATTTTTGTCTGGTTCGATTCACTATAAATTAGATGGTTGGTTTCAAAGATATTATTAAAGGAGTCGAAATCGAAAGCTTTCTTCTTTTTTCGTTTCTACAAGCTGCAAAACCCTCGAACTCTAGTATTCGAAATCAACGTCTTGCATCTAAGCAAATTTCAAAAGATAAAATCCATTTCGAATACCTTTCAAAAGAAAAAAAAAACAATAAGGAATAAGAATTTATTGTTGAACGTTGTGAAATACGTTCAATAAAATGTTCGCAAACATATGTTTTCTTAATCGATCCATTAACGTTATTACGCGTAACACATCCGTGAGGCAGTCGAAAAATTATTTCGCCACTACGTTGCCAAGGATGTAACATAAAAGCAGATTTATTTTTGTGAATTTTTTTCAATTTCATGTGACAATCACTATTTCTTTTATTTCATAAGATCACATAAAGTATAGGATGTCCGAAAAGTCATTGAACAAAAAGAAAAATCACTTTGACGTTTCTCAGATGTGTTAAGAAAATAGTTATAAGGGAAGAGAAATAGGCATGAATGGCAAGAAGTTTAAAATAATGAGACCAGATCGAAGAAATTCAAGAAGCAGTCCTACATATTGTTTGTTTTTTTTTGCACCTTGAAAAAGGACTTTTGTTATGTATTAGACTTGAAAGTGTTACTTTATCAGAGTATTTCAGAACTTTATATTATTCAATAAAAACGTAGAACGGTCCTCTGCTATTAGTACAAAAAAACTAGTTCATCCACTAGAATCATCATGAAGATACCAAAAGTTTTCTTTTTGGTCAATGACTTTCAGGACAGTGTACTTTTAATACATATTAATAGGTACAAAAAACAAAAATAGAGAAGACGACCAAAACGAATAACCCTGATTTATATAAATCTAACAGGAAGTGGAGAATAAATAATAGTTGAATAAATCGATTTGCGGATCTCTAATACACATGGCTACTTCTCATTTGCAAACATGAAGAAAACCAAGCTTAAGAAGAACTGCCCTTAGCCCATCCTGTAAGTTATTGATACTTTTTGACCAGTGAATAGAGACAATAGCACTCTAGATAAAATAAAATTTGAGACAAATCATTCAAGTTTTTTTGAATAAATTTAGCTTTTCTTGTTTTTTCCGTTGCTTAAGAAGCTTGGAAATATGGTCATTCAATGATATAGTCAGACAACTGTTGAGCATACGAACGCATCCGTCAATACAAATCGCTTTGATTACTGCCTGGAAAGCATCAACTATCGTTAGCTTGATCCTTTATGCTAAGATTTTATGTTATTTTACTTGATATATCATGAAGAAAAAAAATAACGTATCCGTTTTTTTTCTCTAGCAAGATATTCTCGAACAAATGCATTTTAATATTGAATACTCATAAGTGAAAATCTTTTCATATAGTTTCTTAGTTGTCTAAAATTTCTTCATGGACGTTTTAGGAGGTAATAGAATTTTTGTTTCAGTTACGAGTAATTTTAGTAAAAAAAGACTCATTTTTTAAAGTTTTTGAACATGTACAAAATTTGTTTTTTTTTTGTTGATGCTTTTCTTATCAAGCTAAAAGTTTTATTCTGCTGAGTATGCGCAGAATCCGATGGCGCATATCTTGATCATAACAACAGGCAAGGTTTTACTAAAAGGAAACGTTAGATATTGAAAAACGTGCTTTACAGAAAAATCAATATTTCTCTGAAAATACTCATTTAACGTTCCTCTTAATAAAAAATGGAAAAATCAGTTCAAACTTTTCATTGAAAAATTTGTCCACATTTCATACTGGCCCGATGCTTGAAAAGACACATAGCTTGTGAAAGTCATAAGTCCGTCAAAACAAATCGGTCGCCCAAGAAAGTTTCAGGTTATATGCAGTGCTATTGTTTCTATTAACTGATCAAATAATATGAGAATCTTACGGGAAGAGAAGCAGCGGGTGTGGCTTTCTTAAGTAAAATAAAATTATTTTCAATTTTCAATTAATTTAAAATTGACAACTTCATTAGTTTTGAATAAAGTAACTGAATTTCGTCGTTAATTTGCAAAGATTTGATTAATGAAAGTGCGTATAGAATATAAATCGTTTGAAAGAATTGTAATAAAAATTTGTTTTAGTTTCAGAAAAGCAGCTGCAATTATTTGATGACCTAAGTTTTTGTTCAATACACATTTTTCATCTTGAAGAATGAGATTGCAATAAATAGAGGGGATGAGCTTAAAATGAAAGAGATTTTTAGTTGAGGTAGATTTTAGGTGATATTTAGAAAGCTGTACATGGTATAAAGAATGATATAATGCTTTTTCTATAGATAGTAATTTCAAGTGTTAAATGCAATAATATTATATGCATTTAATAACTGGTCTTGAAAATAAGCTCAGTCTTAAAATGGGATAGATAATGACTAGCTGATTTGGTTTTTTTAGTATTAATAAAGTGATAGTCATGAAGCACTCGCCAGATCCATTGATTTGGGGCTGAGCTAAAAAGGGTTTTTATTAAAAGACAGGTGCGGGTGTGAGTGTAAGAAAAAAATCAACCAACACACCCAAATCCCCAATTATTGGAAATGGTTCTACTATATTTGGTTCATATGTCGTTACAACCAAAACGTAAGTTGTTAGAGTATCGATAAAATGTTCAAAGCGAATTGTTTGTTACTGGTATCTTGATCATTGTATGCTATTATACTTGCAAACGGGTCAAAAGCGTCGAAACAATTTTTGTATAAATAACCTTATGTATTCATACTATTATTAGATTGAAAGAAATAATACGATCAGCTATACAGACGTTCAAAAGAAAAGTTTGATAACAGTATTCTGCTGTGGAACGGTCATGTCCATGATAAAACTGTAAACTATCGTTAGTTAATGCTGAAGAATATCGGGAGGTAACAATGCTTGAAACGCCTAACCAGAAAGAAGTTAGAAGAACGCCAATCTTGATCTGACTCCGTAGTATCACCTTACGGTACTATATATGAATAGACAAATACCATTTACACAGAATTCTTTTGTAATTAGGGAGGAGTCTGAAAGGATTCTGTCCAATATGAGCTTTCTCACCCCGAATCCAGTTCTGATGAATCTGATATTATCAATATCCAGGACTACTTGAATTATATTTGTTCTCTGGGGAATTTCAACTATTGAGGTCGTTTTTTTGAGAACTTCTACAAGAGAGAATTTCTCGACATAAAGACTTGGAGAAGGTTGAATAAACGGATACATGAGAGTGAGGATTCGTGTTTCATTGTGAATCGACAATCACAATCTATTGCAGAAATACACTTACAGCAAGCGTCGATTAACTGTGGGAGGCGTCCAAGGAAGACGTCGACGAACATCCAGTCACTGATGATGAATGTTCATTGTAGATTCGTTTCATTAAATAATTTTTTATGACCTAGCATTTATTTTGACAATTCTACGTTAAGTTTCCCTTTTTGAAAAATTCGGATTTAACCCCTAT